AGAGAGAGAGAGAGAGAGAGAGAGAGAGAGAGAGAGAGAGAGAGAGAGAGAGAGAGAGAGAGTAGGGGTCCAGCAGCGGATTTGCATGGCACCCTCTCCCCAGGACCCGCAGAGGTCCAGGTTTCTGCAGACGTCACTGGTCCATGGTTTTTGTTTCTCTCCACCTCCAGGAGGAGGAAGAGAAGTGTCTCACCCAGCCGGGGGCAGGACGGGACGGGACGGGTCTGCAGACCGTCGGATCACATGGTGGACATCCTGATCAGCGCTTCTTTCTTGGATGATATGGGGGATCATTCAAAAAGTAAGATTATTTAGTCTCATTATTATTATTAGTTATCACTGCTGCGGGTTTGGTTGGAGGTGGAGGGATGACAAAAACAGTCGCATCAGGATCATTTCAATGATTCTGAAACAGTTTCTGTTTGGATGAAGTTGGCTTTAAATGGAGCTCATTTTTGGATTAAAGGCGCGCGCTCCGTGCTGCACTGATGCACTTTACTCACCTYTTGACAGAGAAGTCGGGAATCGCGATGTGTGTGGGCTGTGGGAGTCAAATCCACGACCAGTACATCCTGAGAGTCTCCCCGGATCTGGAGTGGCACGCAGCCTGCCTCAAGTGCGCCGAGTGCAGCCAGTTCCTGGACGAGACCTGCACTTGCTTCGTCCGGGACGGAAAAACTTACTGTAAACGAGACTATGCCAGGTACAGAGAGCCAGCGGAGTTTTTACAGATTTGTTTAAAAAAAAAAATAAATAAAAAGAGTAAACACTTAGATCCTTCGGTCCCTCTTCATTTCTCAGGCTGTTTGGCACCAAGTGCGCAAAGTGCGACCTGTGTTTCTGCAGCAGCGACCTGGTGATGAGGGCCCGGGACCACGTGTACCACATGGAGTGTTTTCGGTGCTCGGTGTGCAGCCGGCACCTCCTGCCGGGGGACGAGTTCTCCCTGCGGGACGACGAGCTGCTGTGCCGGGCTGACCACGGCCTGCTGGCGGAGCGGGGCTCCGCGGGGAGTCCGCTCAGTCCTGGGGCCCTCCACAGCAGCAGACCGCTGCACATCACAGGTAGTTACTTTATTATTATTATTATTATTATTATTGTAATAGTCTTCTCCTCCTTAGACCCGATCTCCGTCCGCCACCCGCCCCATCATCGGAACCACGTCCACAAGCAGTCGGAGAAGACCACGCGGGTCCGGACGGTGCTGAACGAGAAGCAGCTGCACACCCTGCGGACCTGCTACAACGCCAACCCGAGGCCCGACGCCCTGATGAAGGAGCAGCTGGTGGAGATGACCGGCCTGAGCCCCCGGGTCATCCGGGTCTGGTTCCAGAACAAGCGCTGCAAGGACAAGAAGAAGACCATCCTGATGAAGCAGCTGCAGCAGCAGCAGCACAGCGACAAGACCGTGAGTCACCCCTCACTATAATAATAGTAA